TCTATTCGAGACTCATCAGCTGAATGTGCCTGCATTCTAGAATTGACGTTCATTAAAATAATAGGAAAAAGTGGCTGTTTAACGCTGCTATGTTTTCAATAGTGACTTGAAACTGACCGGTTCATGACTTCAATGAAATTCCTAATTACTTGAGCACATATTTCGAAATACAAGTTAACCACTTACTTATTTGATTACTTACGCCTGTGACCCCCAATGGAGTATAGACAGCCGACTAGCATTCTCCAACTCACTCTGTCATGGGCCTTCCTTCCTACTTCTGTCCAGTTGTTGTTCATTCTTCTCATGTCTCTCTCCATTTCTCGGAGTAATGTGTTCTTTGGCCTTCCTCTTCTCCTTTGACATTTAGGATTCCAAGTGAATGCTTGCTTTGTGACGCAGTTGGGTGATTTCCTCAATATGTGTCCTATCCACTTCCAGTGCTTCTCCATTTTCCTTTCTCCACCGGAATCTGGTTTGTTCTCTCCCACAGTAGGTTGTTGCTGATGGAATCTGGCCAAGGGGATCCGAAGTATTTTGCGTAGACAATTTTTAATAAACACCTGTATCTTCTGGATAATTTGCTTTCGTAGTTCTCCAAGTTTCCACCCCATACAGTAGAACTGTCTTGACATTTGTATTGAAAATCCTGAACTTGGTGTTGGTTGACAGTTGTTTTGAGTTCCAAATGTTCCTCAGTTGTAAATATGCTGCTCTTGCTTTGCCGATCCGTGCCTTCACATCTGCATCAGATCCACCCTGTTCATCAATGATGCTGCCCAAATATGTAAAGGTTTTTACATCTTAAAAATCGTCTCCGTCAATTGTGATTGGATTGGTGCATTCTGTGTTGTATCGGAGAATCCTGCCTTTCCCTTGGTGTATATTGAGACCTATTGCTGCTGAGGCTGCTGCCACACTGTTTGTCTTCTCCTGCATCTGTTGTTGCGTTTGGGATAGAAGGGCCACATCGTCTGCGAAGTCTAGATCGTCCAATTGCATCGTAGATGTCCATTGTATCCCGTGTTTCCCTTCAGATGTTGACGTCTTCATGATCCAGTCGATCACCAGAAGAAAGAGAAAAGGTGAGAGTAAGCAACCTCGCCTGACACCGATCTTTATTTCGAACGAGTTTGTCAATTGTCCTCCATGCACGATTTTGCAGTGTAATCCATCATATGAGTTCTGTATGATATTGACTATCTTCTGAGGCACGCCATAATGTCGAAGAAGCTTCCATAGTGTTGACCTGTCCACGCTATCAAATACCTTTTCCTAGTCAATGAAGTTGATGTAGAGTGATGAATTCCATTCAATTGATTGTTCCACAATGATCCGTAGAGTTGCGGTTTGGTCTGTACACGATCTATCCTTACGGAATCTTGCCTGTTGGTCTCGAATTTGGGCGTCTACGCAGTCCTTCATTCTGTTTAACAATACCCTGTTGAAGACGTTTCCCGGTATTGAGAGAAGAGTGATGCCCCTGTAGTTATCACAGTTGTTGAGATCGCCTTTCTTTGGTATCTTGACCAGAAGTCCTTCTTTCCAGTCTTTTGGTACTTGTTCCCCATCCCAAATCTTATTGAAGAGAATGTGGAGTATCCTTGCAGTTGCCGCTACGTCTGCTGGAATGTTGTCTGGTCCTGCTGCTTTGCCACTCTTGATTTGCCTGATGGCCATGCTCTTCAATGTTGGTGATTACCTCGCCTTCCTTGCTTTTCACTGGTCGTTCTGGTGTGCGGCGATTTCCAGAGAGTTTCTTTGTTGTGTCATACAATTGTCTCATGTTTCCTTCTCTTGCAGCCTTTTCCGCTGTCGTTGCTAGATCTTCCACATATTTACGTTTGTCGGTTCTGATGCTCCTCTTCACTTGTTTGTTTACTTCCGTGTATTCAGCTTGTGGCTTGGTTTTTTCTGCTCTTGTACGGCTGGTATTGATTGCTGGTTTCTTGTTCCTCCATCCATTCCTTGTGATGGTGCTTCTTGTGGTCCAGGACCTCATGACATGTCATACGGTTGACATTAACTCAGCCTTCATGAATTCGTACAAAGTGTTCTAGGGCGTATACCAAGGTTTATCGAAACCGTACTCATACAGAAATTCAAACATCCTCTACGTATTCGAAAACGGTTTGCTCTCACCTTAAACCTACCCTCGCAATATTGTTTTGTTATCCAGCGTGTTGAGTTTCACATTAGTCAAGTCTCATCCCTGTTATTCACAGAAATGGAACATACTATTCAGAACTTACTAAAAAGCTCAGAATTTATTGGAAGAAATCTTGAAAAAGGACGTCGTCCTACCTTTCACGAACTCAAATATCGTGTGTGAGAAGTGTGTTAAGACTGAAATTTTATCTTCTAACTAAATACGCATCCCGCTCCTTGGTCATACTAACCATTATCATAAATAAACCTGCTTTTATTTATTAATCGCACGTTACGATATATGAGTATTACTGAATACTAATCAGTCTAGTGGTTATTTTTTATCTCAGTGATTGTGCGAGATATGTTTTGGGACTAATGTAGTGTTTTAGGTTCACAACTAAGAAGATCAGATTGCGAACAATGGTCAGAGAAAGTAAAATGCTGTATCTTGGATATTTCATCAAACATTACTTGATAAATTACAAACTATGGTTTGTTGAAATGTTTCGTTAATACACTGTATCGATGACTAATTCTTGCTCAAAAATCTCAAGTTGTTCACAATAACAAGGGGTTTTTCCTGACAACCTATATAATTCAAGGAAAGAAGCGTTATGTGAAGCAGAACTATCCGTATCAAGTATTAAGTCAGTTAGGCATTTCGTGGACATAACATTTATCGGCTGAAAGCATCACCAAACGTTCTAGACACAGTGATTTCTTTAACATATTTTATACTCCCTGTTCAACAACTTCATTAATTTCTCAAACGTAATAGTGACTTTTAGTACTTGACTTTAATTATCCTCTGTAAAGACAGTTCATCACAACAAGAGATTCTTAGGCGATTTAATGAAGTACATACAGTCATTAAGTCTACATCTGAATGAGAAAGTGAAGATAGAATAGCCTTTCAAGAGAGCTGATGGATCAATAAAAATGAATCTGTGGTGTTTGAATGAACTAATGATTCCATTGTACTTGTTGAATGCTTGATTTCGAATTCCAAATACAGTAATTAGTTTGTGCTTATCTAGTACTTCTTGATCCGATTACGTTATTTCTGGGATTCTTAGTTCATGCTATAATTCAAATACTCCTGATTATTACATTGGCGTCTCGATGAGGCCTGTGGTGAAGTTGTTGGATATACATTCGGATTTTGATGCTTTTGAGGATTACTTTGAAAGGTTCGAAGTTTGGGCTATGATCAAGATAGATGATGAGGATGTTAATATTGTAGCACATTTCCTCACATTCATCGGAAAAGAAGCATATAGCTTATTAAAAACTCTGACTATACCGAAAAAGCCCATTTCGCTTCCTTATACAAGTCTCAAGGAATTACTTCTAGACTATGTCAAGTATACAAATTTCGATTGCGGTAATGGGAGATTTCGTAAAGTGATTCACAAGGATATAAAACATTCCACTACATCACGTCACCCAACCCAGTGCATACTCAAGGTTATGTGGGAAATTCATTGAGGAGTTTGGATGCAAATCACGAAGATGGGCACAAGTTTGGTCAATGCTTGTGATGTGGCAGGCTCCATATCAACTGCTGTTTATCCTTATCACAAAAACACTTCTAATGTTTACTCTAGTCAATGTGAGAAATATGCTTTGAACGAAGCCACATTATTCATAACTTGGGGATATGAAGATCCGACATCATTTCGTGGGGGAGGGTAATCTAGAAGTCTATGGTTCAAATCCTAGGTAGCAGCGGTTTCAGTACACAATCGACATGCTGATTACCCAATCCTAGGAAGCAGGTTAGTGTGTTCCGATTTAGGTTGTTAATTCTAATAATAATGAGTGCATCCTAGATAATACAAAGTTTATATTCAATACAATGTCGGACAGACACAGGATGAACTTGAGAAGACGTACAATTAATTACAAACACTTATACTCCTATTTAAGCTGTGGCGGATGTGGTGTTTGAATGAACTAATGATTTCATTGTACTTGTTGAATGCTTGATTTCGAATTCTAAATACAATACATTCGTTCGTGCTTGTCTAGTACTTCTTGATTCAATTGCGTTATTTCCAGATTCTTAGGTTTTACTATGATAACGCGAAAATTTCTTATTCTTTCTGTACGATGTAAATTTGTTTCTCTCCCCTTTGTTACTTTTTTGCTTGAACTTTCATTTAATTGACTTCTATTAATCTTCATATAAAATGCCTTGACAAGTATATGTGTGACCAGATTGTTCGAAATGTATAGCACAAATACATCGCATTCTCTTTTCATTGTTCTATCGAAATTTATATAAGGGACTGATTGCTATGTTTATTCCCAAATATTGCTATTCTTATTGGTTTGACATCATTATGAATTCTTCCCAATACATGATTCACTTATTTCGCATTCATCTCTTATTATTTTCATATAAAACTTTTACACATTGTAGTCTCCTATCAAATATTTGATCGAATTTGTAACTACATTATTATTTCTCTCACTCTATCCGACCCATATTTGTCCTGATCATGAGTGTTAAAATTGCACTTAATATATAAGCTAATTCAAGTTGACATTCCATATGAGTCATATCGACATTAACAATTTTATTCCATATTGTTTAACAATCCTAAATTCACATACTTCAAATGATGTACTTTGCCCTTGCCTGGTCATTTTCCGGATTATTAATTTGGATATATGAATTGTAGTAGCTGAAGTGAATTTATCGAAAACAATATTCTTCGTTCAAATACTATGAGGATTTTTAAACAATAAATTAATATCAATGGTTAAGATCATGAGATTAATTTCACTACAATATAAAACTAGTGTGATTCGTTAATTACAAAACGCGTCTTATTTCATTACGATTACGTAATAAGATTTCGTTCATTCTCTCTCCTTTCGTTTCTTTCTCGTATTTTTTTAACCTAAACAAATATGAATGAAAGTGAATAGAAAGAAACTGAATCCAATCATAATCTAATATGTTGTACGATCTTCAATATCGATTTAACAATCGTTTAGTTTGGAATGTAAATTAATCATAAATATCTTAGCAATAGCTGTTGGTGTTTTCATTTATGATAAAACAAAACTCATACACTTTTTGAAAGTAATTGTGATAGACAAATTTTCGGTTTATCAACAGTTCAATTTGCGTTGTGTCAATTTCAAACATGAAAAAGTTATGTTCCATTGGCTGAAATAATCTAACTCATGTACACGTGTTATGAGTTTGTTTCCGTTATAGTTGACCGACATTGTAACATGCAAATAGGTGAAAATTTTCGACTATGTGAGTGGCTACGCGTTTGTCTACTGTTTCGTTCATACACTATACATGAACAATTTTAGAACACTTAGTCCGTCGTTCAGCTTATTCATAACAACAGAATATTACACTATTGTTTTCTATTTGAAATGTTTGGTTCTGTAGAGGTGATTACTGACCACAGATGTAGGTTTGTATCGAGTTCAATAAAATGTAGTGAGCAATTTATGGTTAGGTGTGAAACGTGACCTCCCAAAATAGAGGATATTTGTAGGTTGCAAGTATTCAATCATGGATGTCTTTGAATCATTGCTAGTATGTTCATGGACTATAAATTTGAGAATGCTGAGACTGGTCACAGAGCACTAGATAACTATGGTAAATCAGTTGACAAGGTAGTAAATCTTTATCAATTGAGATGATTTGAACATGTGTTACGTATACCCATCCACAGACCACCTCGATATATGATGATGGCTGATATAGAAGTAGATTAGAAGGAAGTTAGAGGCGGCCATAATAAAACATGTCATCAGTCTATGAAGACATTAACTGGTGAACTGAGCCATGTGAACAGGTACAGTTTACCATGTTGTGGTTCACGTGATCATCGTAACGAATGCTGAGAGATCTTGAACTGGATGTCCTAAAATCATTCGCAATGACGCATTTGGATTTTGCTTCTTGTCCTCCTTCAGAACCTATGTTTCTGACTTCCTCACAAATTTCTTTTATCAGTTCCTTAGTTATTGTTTTCTTCTTGAACCGTTTCTTGAATGGTTATTGTTCTTTGTTACTACTGATCCTGTTACAACATCTACTACTCTGCAATCTCCACTAACATTTCCATCTGATTGTGTTAATGAGGTATGGCAACTTGAACCAATGTATACACATGTCGAGTTTTATGTCACATTTAACTGACTGACTGTTTAATTTAACCGTGGTTAAAATTGCATAGTGAATTCCACGTTACAGTAATGATGATTTATTTCACTCGTGTATTAGCTATGAGAAACAATCTATACTGTGCACTCAGCTTTTTGCAAATGAAATATGAATTAATCTGAAATGGTCAATATTTAATAAGTTGTATGCGCCACAGATTAGCATCATTGACAGTACCACTTAAAAAGAACAGAGAACCGGATAACTGTTTTGTCGTAATATGGAACGCCTCACAATTGAGCACCTATGACACCATTGAAAGTGTTCATCATAGAAAGTGACGAATCACAACTTAATTATCGACATTTTTAAATTCGGTTAATGTTTTCTGTTGCTACATTCTACGCAAACTGAATAAGGAAATAGATAAATGACAGTCAAAATATCGACTATGTTTAACTCACAGAGCATACATCATGAAAACGTGGACATTGGATCCAATCATGGCTAGTTCTATATTCAGCTATTTTCATAATACCACCGTCTCTTGGACATTCACGCCACTCACCACGGAAGTAAACTAGATGTTTGAATTCAAGACTACACTTCACCTTGAAATTGGAAATAAATCAACATTTTCTGATGAACAAGTTAGTTATACAAACTAATGTCAGCTGGTGAAGTAAATACTAATGAGAATAAATAATTTCTTTGATTGAACAAAATGGCATGGTTGTATTATTTTGGAAAGTCTGCATATGATATACGTTCATATTATTTTGTATTCAAAAACGACGACATTAAAGTTACTTTCTACTGAACTATGAAATAAAGGAAATCGCTGGAAAATTCCTGTTATATTAAAACACAATTGTATGAAGGAAGATTTTTTTTCGAATATTGTCTCATCAGGTTCTACAATTATCTCATATCTAAATTAGTAATCCATAAGATTGGCCAGATTTGAGGCAGAGTACATCATTTGGGGATGTGCTCACGAGCCCGAATGTACAAATTCCTAGAACATCTGCTAATATAACTTTCTCCAAAGGAGCAGTTGAATTGATAGATACAGAAAGTCTTGTAATATGGTGACATAATTCGATTAATGTTCATTTTATGTCCCAAACTTATTATTATTATCTTTACCATCGTTATTATCATCTTTATCATTGTTATTATTATTATCATTACACTTGATAACCGTTTTGAGGAATTCATTCAGTATCCACTACGATCTACTATATCTGACCTAATTCATATTATTCTACATATTACGTCATTTCCGATTTTTATCCCATTATTTTCTCTCTCACCCCATGTTGACCATATTTATTCTGGTCATTTATCGCACAATCCCATTTCACTTGTAAACTGATTCAAGTTAACGCTTTATATTAGTCAGCCCAAACATTAACGATCTGAATTGATTTTATATGACAAACAACTTCGTGGATTGGTTGAAGTTAGACATTAACACCGTTAGATGCCGGCTCAGTGATCTAATGGTTAAGTGCTCGCGCGCAAAGCCAGTAGGTCCTGGGTTCGAGCACCGCGTGGTGTGGGATCGGGGATGCGCACTGCTGAGGAGTCCCATACTAGGTTGAAACGGCCGTCCAGTGCTTCCAGGTTTTCAATGGAGGTCTAGCTTCAACTGACTTATGATTTCAATCTGTGAAAATTTCTAGAAATCTCCACAAACCCCTTCTGATAATTCTTGATTCACATATTACCATTTTAAATGATGTACTATGTCTTAATTCGTGGCCAATTTTATGGATTATTAATTTGGATTTATAATTGTAGAACCAGAAGAAAAATTATTGAAAGACTCAACGGAATCTCATACGATTAGCATATATACAGCTTACTTCAAAACAACCCGCGAATGCCCGATCACCATTTCCACCCACATATTTTGTTCCATAATTGAAACATCGTGACTTCTTTCCATAAGATGGACTATAGCGCTCCTGGTCTGCAGTGTAAGATAAAAACAAAAGTTCAATCTCCTTCTTATGTGAGCTGACAGTAAACGTTTTAGGATAAAGTGTTCACTATCAACTTCTGGTACGTAGATCAATACATAAAGAGACAAATTCATTCAATAAAGTGAAACGAATCCCTAACTCAGTGGATACCAAGAAGAATTAGAAGTTTAAACTTAGTTAACAACTCTTAGTCGGCCACCACTTGATCTTATGGATACTGAAATGTTACACGTTAATTAGTTTAAAATTCTGTATACTAATTGGTAGCCAGTTTTCAGTGTTCCATGAATCAAATCGTAATGAATATTTTCATGATAGTTCCGTTTTTATTATATCATTGTATGTAGATCAATAAGATTAGGTATCGTGATAATTTGCTGTATATTTCTTTTAGATAAATGTTACTGTCTAATTATAGTGTTCCATAGTATACTTCGCTACTTCACAGTAATAAGTAGTGTGATGATAACTGAGTGTATTCGTTGTAAGTAGTTCGAATAAAGGAAACTCACTTAGGTACTTCTGATTATTAGTATCTCCACAGTGAGAATTCTGTGGTTTCTTATTAACACTGTTCAAAATCTGAAGAAAATATTTACAGGACAATGAATTATGATAATATATTATGTGTCAAAGTACATTCTACTGATCACCCTACAAGAATTTTACAAATAAATCAGGTGATTCAATTTCATGCAATATATATCATTATTATTCAAACTATTGACACATAACTCTGAGTTCATAAAATATCAATTAGAACACTGTGGTCCTAATCAGAAAGCTACGTTATTCGGGCTGTGAAGAATGTAATCTGTTTGAAGTGAGTCCCATACTACTCAAAAATGCATTGGTTTATTCTGCATAAGTGTCATGATGTCCAAGTCATAATACGCAGGTTTTTTCCAATCTCAGTTTGGATTAAACCCTGATTCTACAAATTACTTTTCCAATATAAATGAACGACAAACCTACCTGAATTATTCGACGGTCTATGAATGACAGTCACAAAACAATCTCCTCCGGATATACCAATTATAAGGCATTTCAACAGGTGTATAATAGGTTTATTCTAATCACTGTATATAACCTTCATGATTAAACAATAGTAGTGCGCAATTTAAACCTGTATACTCAAACATTAGAAATGTGTTCGACTATTTATCCCTACTTTCTGTTGAGAAATTAATTTTTCAGCAGTTGCCAATAACTATCTGCCCAACTACTAGCATTGACATCAGAGAATCGTGAAGTGGTTGATTTTTTTGTGGTTAGTTGAGAAGTCGAAACACATATTGTTTAAACTATGGACAATCAGTTAAAAGTGATCTTTCTGAATGGTGACAGTAATTAGAAAACAGCTTGGCATCGCAACCACCATCCATATTGTTGGAAAAGATTCACAAATCACTTGATTACAGAGTCGTTTAGGCATTTGGAGACATTCTCCCGGAAATAGCCGAATGGAATAAATCAACACAAATTCAACTATTCATATGAGTCGTCCTATTTCGTGAAGGATATTTATTCATGATGTTTTGTATGGTATACCAATGAAATGTCAGCGTAGACATTTAGTTGTAACACCAATGACACATAGCTATTCAAAAATTTAGAATTCAGTTTCAGATGTTAGTTTTCACTTGAAATCATCTTTATCATAAAACAGTTTACGCACAACATAGATCAACACTTTCTGAAGATAAAATTCGAAATATTTGGATCAGTAAATCAGAAAACTTTGAATATGTGACACAATGCGGTAGTTAGAAATTAAACAAAATGACTGGTATGTAAAAATATTCGTGTACAATCCTGGTCTTGAATGATTTTATACATATTACCATTTAAAAGTCAAATAGTCTATAATGTCAAAGTTCGAGTTTTATACTCAAATTCTCTTTGTATTAGAAATAAATTTTCTGGACAAGGGGTACTGATGAACGAATTCGAGCAAGTCAGTGTAGCTATGACCAAGACTCGATTAGTCCATGGCTTTGACGCGACTCCAGAGTTATCCGGATACCTAAGATATAATATTGATAAATGCACTAAAGATCTGGCCGTCATATATATGTAGCTAATAATATGAACATCCGTTCCTATGTTTGTGGATCTCATGATAGTAGAACCTGTTAATTCATCTGCTGTGTGCTCACCATTGAATGTTGTACATTTATAATTGGTGTTATCTATCTTAGCCAAATCTGCTTAGCCGATGACTTTATTTTAAAGCGCATTGAGCTAAGTAAAAATAATAGATGCCTGATATTAAGAGGTTTCAATGCATTTGATATTACTTGGATATAGATGGACACCGTAGAATCTGTAAGCTCTTTCAATAATAGGCTCTTCATGGCGGTGATGGAGCATGCTTTAGAACAACATTACCCCGATCCATACTTTTTGGTTCAAAACAGGGATCTCCTTCGCTCGACTTATTAATCGATCATGTGACCGCGTATAATGTATATCTAAATAATCACCCAACTTTGTCGAATAACGATTATTCTACTTTGTCATCCATGTCTACAGCTCGTAACGTAATATGTGATCTGGGTAAATCTCGCAAGTTTAGGTACAAGAAAGCTCGTTGATACTAGAAAGAAATGATGTTGCAAAAGCTGAGGCCTGATTAGAAAATTTTATTAAAGTGTTTCCCATAGAAGATAGTGAAAAACCAATAATTGATCATGATAATGGCAACTTGTTGATGAAGCCTGTGGTTATAGATAAAGGAACTATCATATGATTACTCCAACATCTCAAACTAGAAAGTTTAGTGATCCTGACCACATTTGTCCTAGAATAATGAAACCTTGATGGGCTTAATTGCTGAAACTCTCACCATATTGTTGGATATATCTTCGAGGATATCCAAACTGCCAAGAGACTGGGAAGACATAATTACCAGTCTGGTTCATAAAGCGGGGGTAGGGACTTAGTAACTATCTACCCGTTAGTCGAACAAATGTATTTGTCAAATTGATGGAAAAAAATATTCAGATGGTTACTTTAAACTATATGGAAGGACATAATCTTTTATCCAGGAGAAACGTGCCTTTTGCAAAGACCCATCACGCTTGACTAACCTGCTCATTGCATGAGACAATTTTGTTGTGGCGAAATATAGAAATGTTCCGGTGGATGAAGTCGTCATATTTCAAAGCAAAGCCTTTGACAAGGTATCTTACATGGGTCTTTAACTAAAACTTGTAAGTTTCGCGATCCACTATTAAATCATAAACTAGTAAGTGACTTTTTCGACGATAGAAACCAGAGACTACGGGGAAGCGTGACTTCGTCAGCGTAGGAATCTGTAAAGCGTGGAGTTCCTCAAGGTGAAATTCTGAGTCCTATTCTTTTTTTAATTTGTGTCAATGACTTATCAACGGCAGCAAAGTCATCCGTTCCACTCTCTGCAGGTGACATATAGATTTGGAGACAAATGCATAGTATTTCAGGTAGAATGATGCTAGAAGATAACCCGACTACACTGGTTACATGGATATGTAGGTGGTTATTAGAAGTTATCACTATCAAGATTGTGATGATGCAAACAAATAACTGGGACGATTCATATCAACACTAAATATATGGAGTTGTGTCACTTAAATTAATGGGCAGTAAAGATCTAGGAGTCATAACAAGCAGCAACCTCGGAAACATAAGTGACTGAATGGCTACCGCTGACAAAAGCTTCAGGGCTTTATAAGCTAGTTGTAAGCCACTACAGTACCTGGCAGAAGAAATATCTAAGGTATTACACTCAACATCTGTGAGGCCGCATTTGAAACATCGGACTCAAGCACCGAGTCATTGTTTTAGGTAGAATGAACTCAATGAAAAGGGCTTAAAAGGGTTAAAGTTTTTTCTGACTTACATTATGAAGAAAGACTGAAACGCATCAGCCTAATTCCGTTATAAAACTGTTGGCTATGGAGTGGTCTAATATTGTCTTATCGTGAAGTGAACGATGATTTTGGTAGTAATATATACAATCTTTCCTTTGAATCCAGAAATGATCATCTGAGAGGACATTGTATGAAAGTTAAAAAAACAGATCAAATGTTTTACACCTGTAGTTCCTTTTCTCATTGAGTAGTGAATGACTGGAATTCACCATCAAAACACGTGATTTCAGTGCCTTCTCTTGATGCCTTGAAAGCAAAAACGGACATGCACAGCATTAAAACTTTCAAGAACTGTTATAGGTCAATAAAACTTCAATTCTTACCAGTTACGGGACTCAAATTCAAACCTTATGAAGAGCGCCTCAAATCACTTAACCGTTGCCCATTAGAGTATAAGCGTCTTATAGGTGACCTAATGGCTTACAATATTTTTAACACCTCGGGATATCTCTTTAGACACCTTCTTAAGCTTAGTCCCAATACAAACCTAAGGGGTAACATCCAGAAATTGGAGACACAACATAGCAGAACGGACTATAGACACAATTTCTACTCATTAAGAGTTGTTAAATGCCAGAATTCGCTGCCAACTGAACTAGTCCAAGCGACTTCCCAGCAGTCTTTTAAGAGGAAACTTGACCTATTCCTAAGAACTAAGGATAACATCTCATTATGATTTACCAATTTTTTTCCTCTATTATCGTTATTGTACCTAGGTTCATGCCTGGAATTATTGGTGATCCATTGTTACTAGACACGGGAGTCCTTTGAGCGGAAGCTTCTTCTATTCTATCCACAACCATTTGAACCATTTGAAGACTGAAGTATGAGAACTAGGATTGGTTTAACATTTGAACATGTCGATTGCTTCTCTAGGTCATCACCTTGACACGGATTTAACATGAATGTGGACTTATAAAATTTTAAGAATTCGGACGTCCACTTTTATGGAGGGCAGTAGAAGATGTTGAAATGCATATATTTCAACTATGTTTTTTTTTAGGAAATATAGGTAATCGTTACTCTCAGCCAACCTCATTTGGCAATTACAGCGCTTTTAATAAATGTGGGAGACCAGATACATTTGATGACCTTCAATAACCCAAGTTTATTTAAATATAATGAAGTTAATCCTCATATTTCATTAAATTATGTTTCTGTTAGGTCAGCTCAAGAAATATTGTCATCCTGTGTAGATTATTCTCGAGTAACGTGGTTACATCCCTTAAAAGATGTTCGCAACCACTCTATGGTCATGGTTTTGATCAGTTAACGGGTAATAAATTTGGTCAGGTAATTCTCCTTTTTCTGTTGAATACTGGTTGTTGCGTATACGTCAGTGATTACTGTGATAAAAGTTACATCAATAATATGTGGTTCATACATGTATTCGTCACTCAAACTCAGTCATTCTCCTCCTCTTTCTCTGGCTAAGAGTTCTCGAAAAACATAGCTTATTAACAAAACTTTGATGAGTCTGTCGCTGAGTAATTAAAACCATCAACATTGCAAGGGAAAATGTTAGTGCTGAAATCATGTGTTCGGCTATTTGCACTGATGTAATACTTGATTGAAGTATCTAGAAATAAAGTGGTTGGAAGTCAGGTCTGATTGGTTCCTGTTCTATACTGTTGAACATGTATTATAAAACATGCAGATGCTTTGTTTGTTCTAACGATATTGATTGTGTATTTATGTATCTATAGAGAAAAACAAGCTTATTCATCTCAACTTGACTCCCAACTGTTAGGCCAGTTTGTATAACGTTCTTTAGTGGAAAAAAACCAGGGTCCTGACAAAAAAGTAGAGGGTTTTATTTGTCATTCACTTATATTCTGTAATCGGTGCTAGAAATTCGAGCTTACAAAACAGTATAAGTGCATTCCTACAACTGCATTCCGGTGCTCTTAAATTCCAAATATGTCTCCAACAAAACTCGAGGATTCCTTCCCATGGACATGTGATATATTTTCAGAGGTCTGTGCTTAGGACTCAAATGCGGTTATCCAATTGACCCTAGATAACCATGGTTGTGAAGAAAAGTAGTTTATCCCTTAAGTACCGGGATACTCGGTGTAAATTGGTCATTGTCACACATGTTCAAAGATATTTGTAATTCCAATGGCAGAAATAACTTCTGATAGTGAATACTAACTGACATTCAGCTCTGCTATCTGAATGACAACATGGAGATTTAGAAGTATTAAAATAAAAGCCGTTATAAACGGTTTCCTTGACTCCAAGTTTGGTGAATACATTGAGCTACCAAATGTTGTCTAATCTCACTCGGGAACTCAGACTCGAATGTCGTGTCCAAATCGATTCATTTCATATTTTTACCAAGCTCCACAATGCTTGTATTGAAAAACCAAATATTAGCGACAAATAAGTAGGAAAATTTTGAAAAACTACAAGTCAATTTTCAATTGCATCTATGTACGTTGACATATTAGGCACTGCAACTAGTCAGTTTTTTTAGCATATGTACATCTGTGCGGATTACCTCGGTACTGCTGCATTCAAAAGTTTTTAGTAGTGACTGTGGCTAGCAGCGAAGCGTTTGAAGTGAAATATACTGTCTGGATCTTGGTGTAGACATAAGTTGTGGGGTACAGATGCAGTAACCTGAGGAGTTCCAAGTTAGACGAAACTCACATCTAAGACTTCAATGGTAACCGTGGTCCATCCGTACTATGATCTAAAATACATTCAATTATCGAATCTTACTATGGAGTAAGTCCATCCATTGTTAGAGTAGTAACGTTGAATCGTCACGTTTACTACTGTATCCCCGTTCATACCTGTGACTCTTGTTTTTGACTTCTCCCTAGAAAAGTGTCACATGAGGTAGTCAACTTTTACAAGTTTATAGTTCCCTACTCAGTGTTTCGTCAGTAAGTCCAGCCTAGTTAGCTGTACGTTTACTTATAAAGCTTTAAAAAACAGAATTTTTGGATACTTAATACTCTTACCTCCAATATTATTTCATTTTAGTTTTATGAAAACCTCCTATGTGTTACGGGATACAGCCTACAAGTAGACGACCTCAATTTTACTAGCAAAACCTCGAAGAATGATGTCTATGGGTTTTTCTTTCTTTCCGAAAATAAATTAAAGTACGTCTTTTGATAACTTTTGAACGATTTGTGTAAATATCACTAATCCATTTCCAGTAATGGTAATTAGCACTGTAGATTTAACCCTCAAAACTTCATTTTAAAGTGTGTGCTAGTTAAGAGTTTATTCAATTTATTAAAATTCAGAATAATTGTGAAGGTTCTCTTCATGAGGAGCGCAACTGACAGTCCTTGCTTAGTTAGTATCTTACATCTTTCAATAATTTCTGGAAAATGCAGGCTTTGTGCATTTGTGCTTTCTCATTTGTAAGTTACAACACCTGACTATAATTTATCGACAATGTCCCAAATTACTGAAGAAACCACTTCTGAAGAGCGTTAAGCACCTGTGAGAGATAAACCGATTGAATTGTATATTTTGTTCCAATTCTTTACAACAAAGAGGATAATCTTCATAAAAGCAAACAGTTTTGATGAAATATACCATAAGGTTTGTTACGGAAACCTGAGTATATGTATCTCCTCCTCCTCCTCCTCCTCCTCCTCCTCCTCCTCCTACTACTACTACTACTACTACTACTGAGGTATCGTTTAAAATATGAATATCTGATTACCTTTGTCCCATAGCCAATGTTCTACTGTACATTTTCTTAACGCGAATCACTCTTTCCTTTTGAAGAAGTATTTATTTGGACAAAATAGGGACATTTAGTGACGACTAATGTTTACTAGGTATTAGAACTGATTCAGTCTGAGTTCTATGAATCTGGTGTTCGAATTGCTGTGTTATTAAGGTTCGGCATTTTGGACCGATGCATATATGTGCCTGGTCCTACGTTGTAGATGACTGACTGTACTTTTGTTTACTATTATCACCATTATTTATTTATTTGTTCTCCATTCTCGGTCGTGCAAGGGCATTTGGGGGCTGACGGACTGATTTTCAACTATAACTAGGTTAAACCGAAGTGACATATTATATAGCTCCTTTTTTGCAATTAGTTTGTATACCTTGAGTAAGCAACAGTAGTACATCTTAAATTCGATGCTAGGTATATTTTCACATTTATTCAAGAGATGCCTATTCAGGTATTCATTATTGTAACTTGCACCTACATCTGTCCTAAGTCTCTTGTCCTTTAGTGGTGTTTATTATCAGTAGAACCAATTTTATCTATTTTTGTAGCTTGATAAAAAAATAAATAGTTAATTATTTTAAAGAAATTTTGTATAAAAAACTCGATCACATTTTAGTTTGATGTGTACTAATTGTTTGTTTTTTTCTGTCTCTACAGGGGTTATGTAAATATTTCATCTTCAGAAATATATCCATCAGGTTTTACTATTCTCATCGAATCCATAAATCAAGAATTAGGACAAAACGACAATAATTCAGTTCACTCTACTACTATGTGCCATTTATTCGGTGCCACGTACAACTCCACTATTTTTCCTTTAAAGGTTACGATCTTCGAAAACGGTACTGAAGCATCTTCAAATGTTCAAAGATGGAGTCAAATTTCACCAAGTAGAAATAATTTGACATTTCATTCTTTCAATTACACTATTAACTCAACATCATCTACCAATGTTCAATTATTTGATTCATATTATCGTAACAACAACATAGCCAGAAGAGTGAAACGCTGTAAGTCATCATTTACTGGTTCTAGTTTATTCTTAGAGAATTTTTATTTGACTTATTTCTAAACACAAAATACAACATTTATCTGTGTAGTTGACTTTAATTAGACTGAATCAACTTAGCTTATCTGTTTCATGGTATTATGAAAACTAGTTATACTATGTACTCGAAAAAGCTTGCAATTCATCAAGTTTTTATAACTTCCTTTAATTTACATAAATTACAGTGAAATTAGGTAGAGTAATGATACTCCATAGTTACCCAGACATCGTTGGAACACCCCACAAATAAACCCACCGTTTGAAAGTCGACACATTCAATTAATAACCTACCAATTCACTGAATGATGGTAAATATGAAAGTGGGAAAATAAGAGAGTAACAACTTAATGTCTGCATGAATTCTTACTCTAACTGACTCAACACAGGATTTGATTGTATGAAAATTTATGCAAATCAAAACAATAAATCGGTTTTATATAGTTTGGAAAGCTGGCTTGTGCTTTTAGGCTAGACATTACGTGTGTTTTGTCGACTTTGATCTAGACATATACACCTAGTTTATGTAAATAGATATGATCTTGTAACGTTGTATCTGTCACTACTGGTATACTAACATCATTTTGTGTCGTCACGCAATCTTCGTAGGCTCATCTTATTTCGAAAAATGAATAAAATAAAATATAGCAAGAGTTTTTGGTATGCACAACAAATACTGAAGTTGTTGGTTTTACTGAATTTCATATTATCTGAAATTTTCGTTCATTGGGTGAGAGTAAGCAACCTTGCCTGACACCGGTCTTTACTTCGAACGACTTTGTCAACTATCCTCCATGCACCATTTTGCAGTTTAATCCATCGTAGGAATTCTGTATGATGTTGACTATCTTCTGAAGCACGCCGTAGTATCGAGGAAGCTTCCATAGTGTTGTTCTGTTCACGCTATCAAATGCCTTTTCGTAGTCAATGAAGCTGATGTAGAGTGATGAATTCTATTCAATTGATTGTTCCACAATGGTCCGTAGTGTTGCGATTTGGTTTGTACACGATCTAACCTTACGGAATCTTACCTGTTGGTCTCGAAGTTGGGCGTCTACGCAGTCCTTCATTCTGTTTAACACTACCCGGTATTAAGAGAAGAGTGATGCCCCTGTAGTTATCACAGTTGCTGAGATCGCCTTT